ACTCCTCGCAAACGTCAACGGACAGTGCATGCATTTGTAGGGTCTGTCCCAAGTGTGGAGGGACCGGACGTGTCGCTGCAAATCGTGTTTACGGGAAAAGGTTTGAGGACATTCGGGGCATGGGTAGCCGGTGTGCGTTGGGGAGGGGGGCGTTGTTGGGGAGGTCGAGGAAGGGTGAGCGGGCGGGGAGGAGGAGGATGATGAAGGTTCGTCATTGTCAGAGGGAGTTGCGTCTCGTTCTTTTGTGACAGGAATGTATGTGGGGTGGTGGGAGTCCGCGGATGAACTTCGACAGGGCTCTCCTCCATCAAAGGTCCTTTATCATGGGAGGGTTTGCATCGTCTGTACACCCTGAAAAATCCCATGTTCCTCTTCCCACGTTGCTGGATTGAAAGCAGGTGGATGCGGGTTCCCTCTCGCTCCATCCAAACCACTGGCGGCGCGTTTCGCTTCACTGCTCAAATGGCGCTTCAAAGCATCGCTTCTAGCAAACGACAGGTTACAATGTCTGCAATGATGTGGTCTATCCTCGAATGGAGGGACCGGGTGTGTCGACGGAGATCATGTTTTCGAGAGAACGTGGCGGTGCAGAACCGACAGTTGAACGGTCGTTCACCGGAATGACAGCGCAGATGGGATTGGAGGTTGTAGCGACGCGTAAAGGTCTTGTCGCAGCCTTCGTGGGGGCAGTGGTACATTTTGACGCCGCTTGATGTGGAGGCGGTGTCAGGGAGGGAGGTGGTGGGGGTGTTTTCGATGGGACCGGGACGTGGAGCGATGACGCCAGTGTTGGGGATGCTGTCGGAGGGGTGGGTTGGAAGCGCTGCCTCGCTTCCCGTCACGGGGTTTTGAGGCAACGACGCGTGGGGCGGGTTTCGCAGAGGGTGGGGCGGTCAATGGTTGTGGATGTGACATGGGATGGCTCGACATGTGCGGAGGAAGGGGGTAACCGGACGGTGAAGGATGACGCTGCTCGGACCATCCTTGAGGAGGTGGGCCTCCTTCGTAGGCGGGTGCTCCTGAAGGCGCGTAAGGGTACCGAGATGGGTCTGGGGAGGTTGGTGGTGTAATGCGGCGACGGGTATCCTGGTTGTGGTGGATAACTATATCCAGGGTGAGGAGGAGGAGGAGGAGGAGCAGCGGGAGCCCCAGGATGACTATTGTAATAAGGCTGACCCGAATGGTGAGCAAACTGAGGAGGCGGGGGTTGATGGTAAGATCCTGGTGGTGGGCCCGAATAATGATGCAGTTGCTGTGGGTGCGGCGGGGCAGGATGGGAAGCGGAATGAGCTAGAGAAGCCAACGCGCGCGCAGCTCCGTTCGAGTTGTTCGGAGAAGACGGCGGGACTCCCTCAGGTCCAGGTCCGGATAGTACGGCGGATGTTGCTGGTATGGCTGCTGCACGCTGCATTGTAAGGGTACGATGGCCTCCTCTCACCCTGACGCGGATCCTGAGGCCATCCTGGAGGTGGTGCACTCTGATAAGGAGCTGATGATGCGGGATGCCTTTGAGGTGGCGCAGGTCCGGACCCTTGGTGCTGCGGTTGCAAAGGTGAAGGAGATCTCATTGGCTGCCCATTGACCATGGTAGGAGGACGCGTTCCGCGGGTGACAGATAAGACTGCCTATCAGGTGACGGCAACTCTCCGCCAGCGTGGTGAGGAGTGGAGGCAGTCCTGCAGACGGGTAGAATCGACGATCGGGAGAATCTGCATACTGACCACCCTGGTGATGCTGCTGTGGCGGGTGCTGTGCTTGCTGCTGGTGGTGTGTGGTGGTGGTGGGTTGTGATGATGCGTAGGGTAAGAAGGGTAAGGTTGTTGCTGTTGCTGTTGGTGAGCAACCGCTGTAGCAGCAGGAGGAGGTGGAGGACCACTCGCAGAGGGTGTTTGAGAAGAAGCAGCCGGCGCCACCAGCAGGACCACCAGCATTATGCAAAGAGTGTAGTAACGGAGGAAGTACGGCCGCATTATTCTAAATGAAAAATAAATCGTGAGAAAAAATGATATATAAAAAAGGTTGATGGAAAACCAACGGAAAGACTCGGTCCGAAAAGAGAGTTGAATGTTACACAAATGAGCCCCCCTTTCGTCCAAACACTTGGTACCAAGACAAAAAGACAAAAAAAGAAAAAGAACGATTCAGCAGCTGTCTTTTTCCTTCTTCTTTCCTTCCTCTTTCCTTCTCCTTCCTTCTGTCTTTGCCTTACCCTCTCTCGGCTCGGCGCCAGGGCTATGCAACCTTTTCTGCGATGTTTTGCACCCCTCAAAACTCAACGCTCAATCACTGGATGGCTGACTGCCTCCAGCCCTATTTGGCATTTGCTGCTGCTGATGCTGCTGACGCTGTTCTGCTGGCAAAGGCTTCTCCTTCCACCCCACACAAAACACACCACCCACCACCAAACAACGCCCCCTTCTCATTCTTCGCCTTTGCCCATCCATACCAAAAGCCTCAAGGTATACATAAACCCCCCCAAAGACAAAACAATATAATAATACTGAGAGAGAGAGAGAAAGAGGAGATACCCCAAGAGCGAGAGAAAAAATAAGATGCGACGTGTGCGTCTAATAAAATATATGCAACTTTAAAATGAAGGAAAAAAAGGACTTACCCGTCCATGACCTGCATCCAGGGGTGCGCCACCGCTATTTGACGGAAACCTAGATCGCGACCCTGCTGTCTCATCAGAAGGCGAATCCTCTCCATTCGTCGAAGATCTCGGTGTTGGGAGGGTGGGGCCGGTTGATTGCAACTGCTGACCACCGACAGGGTTGTGATGGTAAGGGTTTGGAGGCGCATTAGAGTAAACAGGACGCTCATGCAGCGGTTCGGTCGTGGGAGGACGGGTTAAAGAGATGGAGGGGAGAACGGGAGTCCAGATTGGGAGGGGTCGATAGGTTGGTAAGGAGGATACCCGCCACTGGGTTGAGATGGTGGATAATGGGGAGGAGGGTTTGAGTAGTGTGGTTGTTGATGTTGAGAAGGGTTGGATGGAGAGGGAGATTGATAATGTTGAGAAGGGTATGCGTGTGGGTGAGGGTAGACGCCCCCGCCCTCAGACTTGACTGCGGCCTGCGCAGGATGATAGTAGGCTTGTTGTTGTGGCTGCTGTTGTTCGACTCTTTGATTGTCGTGTTGAGCCCGAGGGCCGTTCTCTTGGTGGTAACCGGCAAAGTGAGGAGGGTAATGCTGCTGCTGTGGCTGATGTTGTTGTTGGTGGTGGTGGTGATGGTGGTAGGGTTGCGCAGTCGATGGAGGAGCGGGGTTCCAGTGTTGGACTGGAGCAGGAGAAGCACTTGAATGATGTGCCTGCTGTGGAGGAGGTGGAGCCATTGTAGTGGCAGTGGTGGCGTTGGTGGATGTAGTTGCGGATGGAGAAGGTGGACTGTTGTTGGCTGCTGCCAGAGCGGCATCAGCGACCATAGACAGAGCGTCCATCTTTTTACGTTATTTTTTTTTGGTTGTTCGTGCGTAGTTGGTTTGTAATGGACGGGCTGAGAGAGATGACGGCTTTCCACAGGCAGATGGAAACGTACGTCTAGAATGCGAGGCTGAGGTGAATAATTGATTAAATAAAAAATAGTGAAATGTGAAACGGGGAAGAAAGGAATGGCTGCTAATACTGCTGCTGCTGATGGATGGATGGATCCTATTAAATTCCTAATTGTGAATTCTTTTTCTTCTTTTTCTTCTTTTGAATAAAAAGAGAGTTTGTCCGAACTCACAAACAGGCGGTCACTGCTCATTGGTGGTTTCATTTATTTTATTCAATATTCAGCCAATCAGCATGCTGCTGTATGGTAATAAATAAGGCGGTGGCGCAGATCATTAAGAAAGGGCTTTTTTTTATTTTATTTTATTTTTTTATTTATTTATTCTCTGTGCGCAGTTTATTTATTTATTATTTATTAATTTAATTAGAACTGCGGCAATAAATAAATAAAATAGGGCTTGGATAAAGAGCAAAGAGGGGATTGCGCCTCCTTCCTCCTCGCCATAAAAGGTCCCCTCTTTACTCGGACGGAATCTCTAACCTTGATACAGAGGCAGTGCTACCACGCCTATATTATTATTACCCAATGAATGAAGAGCCTTGTCAATGATGAAGATGATGACGTCCTTTTATTTATTTAACCTTTGCCTTGATACCCCTTTCTTTTAACATGTCAGTCAGCTGTTCTTTATTAGGTAATGAAACAAAATAAAAAGACAAATTCATGTGTGACAGTGGCTCCCCCCACCCCCTGTCACTATATAATAAAGAGAGCTTCCATGTCTTCCAGAAGCTCACATTTCCACAGCTGTCCCTTCCTCTTTTCTCTTCATCAAATCAAGTGTAAACCATGTGCATGTGTGTGTGTGAAGGAAAAAAAGATCTTCCGATTTATTCCTTGTGCCTTGGTAAATAATAAGCCACACAAACTTTCTCATTATTATTAAATATTTACTTGTAAATCCATTAGTCAACCATACAGCAAAGGACTAAAGTCATTATTGCATACTAATAAAAATGATCTCATGTCCAGGAAGTGTGTCGTTTAATCCCCCAAACTCCCTAAATGAAATGAATGAATGCGACGCAAAAGGATCGGTTGCCAGCTATTCAACCAGAACAACATGAAAAGCTTTCCCAAGCAAGAGTCCATAAGCGCCAGGAACAAAAAAAATTCTTCTTGAACGCGTATTCAATGCATATATCAATACTGGCAATAACGGCTTCCAATGTGGAGCAGTTGAAATATCCAGTCAATCAATACACCACCATCTAGTTACCAATTCCATCCATCCGCTACCAACTAGACTTCGAAGGGAACAGCATCTTGTCACCTACCTGGTCACAGACTTTTCAAAAAATCAAAAATCAAAAATTGTCACCACCACAATTTAATCCCAGCAAGCAAGCAAAACGCTTTGCTGACGGCCTATTCGACCAGGACTCCGCTGATGACATGGTCGACCGCTTTCAACCCAGACCAAAAAAAATTCAGAAAAAAGCATGCGAAAGCCGGGAATCGAACCCGGACCCTCAGCTTGGGAAGCTGAGATTCTGCCCTTGAACTACTTTCGCGAAAAGATGGTTGTGTCAACAGTTGACAAAATAACTATTTATATTCATTTTTGCGAAAAAAAAACCATCAGCTTTGACGATCTACGACATCCGCCGGCTTCGCCATCTCAATCTCACCCATCATTCAGTACCAGTAAAAACAATCAATTAAATCCTTTCAATCCTTGATAACTCATGTTAGGATTTTTAGGGAAAGAAAGCATCATGTTTGCCGTTCGCAAAGGTGACAACATCCGCGTTGGCGCCTTCCGCGTGTTCAATGTTGGGCTCGGTGAATATGAAGAGTGCTTTGGAGTTGTTGTGGACGTAGAGACAAATGCAGATGTTTGTGAGCGGAGGCGGTGACGAGATGGATACCAATATTGCCAGCTGAGCCTGTGATGAGGGATTTTCCTTAGACATTTTGATGGAGTGACTTTGAATATGGATGTTAGTCTTTAAGGGGTTTTGAAAGTGATTCAGAAGCTCTATTAATTGGCTCTAAAGACAAAGACTTGATTAAAGGATGTCACCCTTGTAATGAGTGTCTGTGACATGTCGTAACGAGGACTACAAAGGTACCTAAGTTTATGAGAATTACAAGAATCTTATTATTGTATTGCAATAGATTTAATTGCTCGACTTTGTTTGGTGTCAAGACTCCCGTATGTCAAATTTAGCGATGATCTTCCATTTCGACTGTTTTATAATTTAACAAAGGCAGAAACATTAAATCATTTTCATTTTTCACGCGTTTTATTAAAATGCAACATTAAACAAAAACAGCCTTATTCTCCTCCAAAAATTCTTTAAACGACTGCGGCTCCCTTCCACTCAAAAAACTTGACCCACCCCGTCGTAAACCTTTGTCCCGTCGGCAACCTCTCCCGATACGTCACCCCCAAATACGCAAGCAACAACGCATACTTCCCAGGTATCCCATATCCCAACAACGTCTCATAGACAGCCTTCTCATCCACATTCACATGCTTGACAACCCTACCAGAGACTTGACCAATGATGGTCGCGAGATCGTCTTGAGTCAAGGATTCGGGACCTGTGAGGGTGTATCCCATGCCAGCGTGGAGTTCAATAGGGGCGAGGAGAACACCGGCGGCGGATGCGGCGATATCTTTTGGCGCTGATGGAGGAGATGGCGGCGGTGCCATAGTTGGAGTAGATGGCTCCAGTTTTCGCGGATGCGGCTTTTCCGAGGGTATTCTAGTTGAAGTAAATATTTTACGCAAAAGTTTGTTTTTTTACCTCCATGAAATCGTGGGGTCTAAGGTAGGTGATGGCGACTTGTTTACCAACTGCTGCGGTGATGTCGTATTCCGCTTTGCCGTGTTGTTGCATAATGGTACCCGTTTCAGCACTCAAATCAGCAAATATGCAAGAAAGCTTGACGATATGTTTGACCCCCGCCGCAGCTGCCGTCTTTGCCATCTCAACCTCAAATCCATAATTCAGCGACAGCAAAAACAACCGATCGATTCCCTTCAAAGCTTTGCAAAAACGATTAGAAGCGGGGACATGGGGGGTTGTGAAGTGTTTGAGTTATTATACCATTTGCAAAGGCGACGAGATCCTCGTTGGCGCCTTCCGCGTATTCGATGTTGGGATCGGTGAAGGTGGTGAGAGCTTTGGATTTGTTGCGGACGTAGAGACGGATGGAGGCACCTTTTGAGAGGAGGTCTTTGACGAGATGGATGCCGATTTTGCCGGTTGAGCCTGTGATGAGGATTTTTTCGCTAGACATATTTTGGGTGTTGGGAGCAGATGATGGGGACGATGAGGATGAGCTGATGGAGTGAATGGTAGGGGTTTCCAAGCATGCAGATTGCAGGTTTTTATAGGGGAGCAAAAAGCTGGGGTTGTGAAACAGCTTTGAAATGCGGTTGACAAATTCAGTGATGGCTGCTTAGAAATGACAACTTCACCCACAGCATTCTCTGAATCCCTATTATTAGTGCATTTATCAGATTTATAAGTACAATTTATTATATATTAGTGATGAACAAACGTGATGCTATTTGTAACATTATTCTCTACGCAATTTGTCAGTATCATCATCATCATCATCATCATCAAGAACCATTAAAAAAAGAGAGAGAGCTGATAAATCACTAGTAAACTACCGTGACGGTAACCACGAATGAAAGAGTAAAAGGTGTGCCCCTCACATCATGTATATTTGATGAACCGTTAGAGCGTGTACTGGCAGCGGTTGAGGATCAGCAAAGGTTGACGGTTTTGGGGTTATTTGTCAGGTCCCAACTGCGCTTGGAGAAGGCCAAGGCTTTGTGTAACATCTATAATTGACCTGTTTTCAAAGTCCGAAGGCATATTTCAGTCGCTTTTTGATTTTCCGACATCCTTTTCGGTCACTGATGAGGCCGTCATCGATACGAACTCCTCCCTGAAACCTAAAGAACCGCCGGCGAGACGAGACCATAATCAATCAGCGATAGGCTATTCAAAGGCATTATTGCCATAGAAATGCCTGCAGAGAGACCTCCATCTGCAGTTGCCACGGCCGCCACCAACCATTACGTTGCTCAAGACCTATCGACCTCATCAACTCAACCACCACTATCAACCTCATCCATCACGTCACCCCAAACAAGCCTCTTACAAACCAACCTTATCACCTACGGAACCACACCACCTACCATGACCTCATCCACCAACCCCGTCGACCTGGAACTCGGCCTCCGCGATCCCCCAACCCTCAACTTCCCCTCCCTCCACCCCTCCAACCAACTCGACCACGCCTTCCGTCTCTCCCGTATCTCCACACCTCCCACCTCCCACATTCGTCGCCGCTCCCTCGCCCTCGTCCTCCACCCCCCACCCTACATCCCCCCTCCACCACCCCGCTCCATGAACTCCCTGCCCCCGCGGCACCTCCCACCACCTCAACCCCCCCACCTTCGACTTCCCTGAACCCCACTACATCGCTCCATCCTCCCCTCCTCGTCTCCCAACAACCTGGTCATGGTGGCCCCCAGGCATAGGTATGGCCTCCTGGGATGCGCACAACAATCCACGACCCACCTCCATCCGCTCCTCCCCCTCTCTCCCCTCAAAAACAACAACAACTCCTCCTAGCTTACCGCCCCGCATTCCCCTACGACTACGTCCACGCATCAGACTGTCGCTGTCCAGACGTCACCAACGACGACTCCTTCATCCCCCCTCAATCCCCTTCCATCCCTATCCCTCTTCGCGATACCGCCGTCATAGGGTCCGCGTCTTCCTCAACCACACTGATCGGATCACCCCCCGTTGAGGACATTGACACCATCCAACCCTCACCATCAAGCCCGATCTGCGCATGGGAAGGCGACTGGGACGCCATGCTCTGTCCACTCTGCGCAACCGTCTTTGATCGCGTCGCAGCTGTTGGATGTTGCGGCGCCGAAGTCTGTGTGAACTGTGTTCATCATTGGTGTAAACACAGAAAGTAAGCCACATTTTCTCCTTTTGTTTTACTCCCATCCTCCCACTGACGGTTTTTTCTTTGCGGGGGAAAGGTCTGAGAAGTGCCCGTTTTGTAGACAGAGCATGTCGGAAAAGATGTTGATGAGTGCGGCGGATAAACAGGCGCGGGTAGATGCGTTGGAGGTGAGATGTCCTTTTGCAGTATTGGGGTGTGGATGGACGGGGGCGAGGGTTGCGGTGAAACGACATGTGGGAATGTGCAATGTTGGATGGGGTAAGCCTAGATTTTTGTTCCTAATATCTCATGTTCCATAACTCGGCAATTTCTTTATATTATAGTTTTATGTTAACGTCGCTATTTCTCCGTTTGCTTTTTTTTTTTTTTAAATAAATATTTATGTACATCTATTTTCAAAGCGTACTTACATTTCGTGGTATACAGAACACTCCAACCCCACCCAAGTCCTCCAAGAAATCTCCCCGCCCACCTGCACCCACCCCTTACTGCATCCTCACCGCCCTCCAACAACAACAACAACAACACCATCTCCCCACCTCCCAACCCCCTCCCACAACCTCCTCCGCCCCCATCGACCTTCACGTCCCAGCCGTTTCCTCCCCCACGCCCCCCTTCACGACGCAAAATGATCATCCTAATAGCCATGGGCGCCGCGTTTGCCGATTCTCGCCGTCAGCTTCTTAGCGTCCACCGTGCTTAGTGGTGGTGATAGGAGAGGGGTTTTGGATGTACCAGAGTGGGAGATGCCGACGGAAGGGTGGACGGAGGTGGTGTGGAGACGGGAGATGGTGGGAGAGATACCGACGAGGACTGTGGAGAGGAGGTGGAGGTGGAGGGAGGATATGCCGACAAAGACTGTGGAGTTTGGAGATTTTAAGATGGAGGGACGAGTTTTCATGATACATAACGCTTTTTTCATTTCCGTGACTATTCACTATATGACCTCATAATGGCTCCATTTTATGTTCACATTTAGTATCAATCAGCTCTTCATAATTTATCCTCTTTTTCTTTTCCTGTTTTTTTATTATAAGAAATTGTTGTGGGCTATTTATATGATGGATCTAATTTGTCCCTACCAAATGAAAACATGAATCCTCCATCTAATATTGTTTAAAAAATATGCCGCCTCTCATTACTCAAAAACGATATTAATATTCATGTTTCGTCCCCCTTCCCTTTTCCGGAATACTATTATGTACATATCTCCAAGACAAAAATCACGCACGTAGAAACAAACACCTTGTCCAGACGACAATAAATTCTACTTCCCACTTTTTCTCCTCCTCGCTCCCCCTCCTGTCTCCTCTTCCTCGTCTCTCCCCCTCTTTTCCCCCCCAACACCTCCACTGTCCCTCCTCCGTCCCCGTCCCCGTCCCTCCACCATCTCCGGAAAAAAAATGATCCCAAACATTCCCAAAATACGTTCTCAACTTCCCACAAGCCTCCCGTTCCCTCCCCTCAAAACACTCCACCATCTCCTCAAACTCTCTCCGAAATACTACTACCGACGTGTAATACCCCTCTTGAACGCGGGTCTCGAGTAACGGGAGATGGA